CTCCAGGCGAGGCCTGAGCCATCCTACTGGATCAGTTAAAGTTTTGTTGTATTTGTATGGTATGCCATCTAGTCTAAGCTTAATTGTTTTTGCTATTGCCAACATTAGTCTTACTAGGGTCTATTCTAAATATTTTAGGCCCGTTTTATTAAGGAGGACTATTTAAATTTAGTCATGCCTAACTAGTCGACGCGAGTGACTCAGTTTCGTGGCTCCAAAAATATGAACATTTGATTGGTTGAAATTGTTTATTTCGGTCCGCCCATTTATCCAAATACGGAATATAAGATTACGTCATTCTTTTGGCATCCTGGTGCCTGATTTCAGTGTTTTACAAGTCGCTTATTCCGTATCTAAATTTACTTTCTCGCTGGTGGCGCTGTCCAGAATGAGAAAAATAATAAAAAATAAGAGACTTGTGGCAAGTCGAACCAAGCAACAGAAGGGCGCCCTATACGTCTGAACCAAGTATAGAAAACTTGCATTATAAAAAGAAAATGGCGCCGCGTACGTCTGGACCAATTTCCGCATCATTTTTGCAATACGTGTGCTCTATCTTGTATTTCTAGTATCTTTGATGCAGGGCTTAAGTTTGATGTTCTGATTTTTCACTTTAAATACGAATTGAACATCCGTCATTAGGAAGTTTTTGATTGCAACGTAAATATTACATGTCACAATTTGCCGACTTGGAAGTGCGCTGATGTAATTTATCACAAAAGTCAGTACCTGAAACCGACCACCGTCAAAATGAAGATACTACGTCATACTCCTTTTTAGGCCTACTCTTACTTTTCCGTCGTTTGCATTAGTAACTTACTAAGGTAAAGTAAATTTACTTTTAAAATTAACGTATAATGTTTAAATAGATGACAATAACGTAAAACTAATTAAAAGAAACGTACAGTTACGCCTGTTTTCTTTTCAAATCTAACCACTTAAATTGTAAATTAACGTTTGGAAATAACTGTTTAAAAATCACAATAATTGAAAACAAAACCAGAAATCAATTGTGAATTTTTTTTTTTTTGTCATTTTTAAATACTGCCATCAACGGATAAGCTGTAATAAGACTCATCACAAGAGGACGGACTACAAATATTCTGTGGTTTCATTTTTAAAAAAATGAAGCGTCTAGTAGAGAGACTAAAACACTAACGGAAATCAGATATTGACTGCATCAAGTAATTGAACCTGTAGATAGCAGCTCAATTTCTATTCGTGTACAATGCAGGAAATGATTTTCTCAATACATATCATTATAAGAAGGGGTTACTATTCAATATGAGGTGAAAGTCAGCGCTTAATTTGAGAAAGCGGTAGCGATGGAATATATATCTGCAACCAGTTTGGCTCGAAACAAAGTATATATTTGTCAACGAATATAGTGATTGTTGGAATATATTAACTATGGATTTTAAGAGTCGATTCTTAAGAATGGACACTTAAGCCCATCAGCCTTTAACAAGCTAGCAACGTAGTCTTTGATGTTGTATTCGAATATTTTTAAAGTTAAAAATCCCAAATTTATATTTGTTGTTCACTATGTTATTAGAGATACTACGTATATTCATTCTTGTATATACAAGGCGTTTGTTTCTGACGTTGCCCCAGTGGAAGACAACAGACGGTCCTCTTGAGATTATTTAGAATACATACATGCGGCGATATGTAGCAATCACAGAAATTGGAATAAGAATACGTAAAATGGAACAAATAAACAAGTTATTATAAATTAGCTGACTAATGTGTTTGAGTTATTTTCCCAGTTTAAGCTCTGAAGTGTATATACAAAGTATCTAAATGTATAGTTTACTGATCTTGAGTTATGCAAAAGTTACATAAGGCGTTACTGTTGAAATTATTTTTAACATGGGCACGGTGAATGAATTTGATGTTTTGTTGGATCATCCGGTGGAGGTATATCACCCGGGGGAGACTGTCACTGGACGAGTTGTCTTATCACTCACAAAGGACCTTGCAATGAAACGTAACTTAATAAATAATTCCACTTTAAAATGTGACACATGTAAACCTATACATATACTTGATAAAGGCAATGTTTTACTTAGATTCACTTATTAATTGGTAAAGGTATATATTTATGTATGTTAATTAATAATTATATATATTATCACAAGGGTAATAAACGACAGTACGTAAAATATACGTAGTATTGATGTAAAGCTTGTATTTTATAAATTAATGTTATTTTTTTAAATTTCAATCTTGTAGCGATAAGGATTTCACTATAATTTACTTTACACGTACATGAAGGGGACATTAAACATGAAAAAGCTTGAATAAAAATCATAATTATAACTAATACCGTTAATATGGTTTATTAAATTTTAATCTTTTTGGAAACACTTGATTAGGATATGTATAGTACCGTAAATTTTGAACATATTTAATATTTATTTAATTGATGTGGATTTATTTATTTTCGTTAATTTTTTATAGTTTAAAGGTACGTGTAAAGATGTGTATGTATTTCCGCATTCCAGTACAAATTATTAGTCATTTTACCGTTGTAAATGTGTAATATAATTAAAATCATTAGGTATCATTGCGTTGTTTTAAAAGTTGTTTAAGTAGTTGTTTAAATGTCTTTTTATATGTATTGGTAAAATAAATTTCAGTGTCAACCAATCACGTCTGATAGCAGCTTAGCTCAGTTGCCTAAACTGGTGTTGGCAACTGAGAAGAAGAAGAAGAAGAAGAAGAAGAAGAATAAATAATAATAAATAATAATAAATAATAAATAATAATAATAATAATAAATAATAATAAATAACAATAGTAATAATAATAATAATAATAATAAATAATAATAATAAATAACAATAGTAATAATAATAATAATAATAGTTATTATTATTATTATTATTATTATTATTATTATTATTATTATTATTTCATCCAGTGTGACTTTTGCGACCCCCTCTTTTTTCCTGATCATACCAAAAGGTTGATTAGCACAGTTTGTAGTGTCAAACCAGGCCTATTTATTATTATTATTATTATTATTATTATTATTATTATTATTATTATTATTATTATTATTATTATTATTATTTATATATTATTATTATTATTATAACATTTTCATTTATTTCATTTATTTATTCTGGTAAGCAATTACAACAAATAGCAATGAACAATAAGAAAAACAGTAAAATCAAGAAAGTCAAATCAATGCCCTGGGGAAAAAAACAAATAGTGTAATTTCACTGTTCCCTGAGTGAACTTGATCACTTTCGAGGGCATCCCATTACTAATTGACAGAGATTAAATAAACACTTATTTATTATTATTTTAACAAGAACAACATTGTTTATCATTAACATTTTAAAAATACAAAAACGGAGTGAAAATTTACACTATTAGATGATTATAATTTACTATTTTAATTAATAAATATAATATGAATAATTTTTTATGATTAAAACATATTTGACATACAAACATAATAGTTTATTACTTAATGATGTTTTGTACTTTATGTAAAACTTTGAATTCTGTTGATTAGAAAGTATGTGAAACATAATATGTAGGCCCTACAGAATGACAATAATGATATTCATAACATTCTATTTTGTGCTTTACTGACATTATTTACCGAGGACTTTATTTCTAAAATTGTATCTATATAAAGTAAAGTCATTAAAATACTTAATCAGTTGTTTCTTAACTAGATTTGTATTCGGCTGATGGCGCTATTTGGGAACAACGGAGATATTACATTGACATCGACTCGGTAAACTACTTTTGACTTCTGAATCTAGATACAACGAAATGGGAATGGAGTTGGTGTCTATTACGTCACAATATGAACTTAATATAGTCTTGGCAGCTATAGCATTATCTGGATATTCCAACCATTATTTTTACATCGGTTATGATGACGTAACGACTGAGGGAACTTATGTTTGGAAATCAGGTTCAGCCCAAATGCAGGGTTATCAACGTAAGTATCTTTAATGTAATGTATCTTTACATATTTATGACGTAACATAAATTTGATTTTGATTCATAAATTGATAAAATAATAGTATTGTTTGATTGACAGCCTGGTCACAAGATTCTGTATTCGGTGACACTCACTGACATGCAGCACGAGTTATTATCACGTATGTGAACTAGGTAAGCAAAATATATTCAGTATAATTAACACACACAAGCACCCAAAATTAAATACTGATCCTATAAAGATGCTGTTAGATGTGTATAAGAGAAGAATATATATATATATATGCGTGTATATATATGAATATACAGTGTATATATATATGTATACAATATATATAAGCATGTATGTTTTTATAATAGACAAATTAGAAAACCATAAAAAATAAATAGCTTATATAAATACAGTAATGGCTTTTCATATAGAGGCTACTAAGAAATTACATTATTTACGGGAAAAAATGCAGATTAAACATAATAAATTGAAATATTTTACTTATTTGCCTGTTAAATAATATTCTTTTTTTCTAATTTTATAACCGGATACTTTATTTTAATAGATTTTAAATGAAAAGGCAAGTTAATCCACAGTTTTGCACCTGTTTGACAATGAACTAAACAAAATCAATCAATGTGGAGAATAACGGTGATATAAATCAAAAACAAAAAGTTTTACCTAAAAGGCCTGGTAGAGCTAATAAGAGAGATGATGGTTATCTAATCTCAGAAAATGTTATGTATTTTTTGGGAAATTGATTTACAACAAATTCGTTGAGGTATTCCTAGCGTCAGTATAATTTGAGCTCTTTTAATTCTTTTAAACTGACGTCATACTTTTAATATAAGACTAATAATGCATGTGACTAGGCTGTCAGAGATTACGGTATAAAATGCTTTCTATTCTGTACATTATTTTGTATTATTTCTCATATGTTTCCACTCGATTTATAAGCCCTTATTCATTTAAAGTTTATAATATTTCTATTCATTCATTAATTTCTGAAGAGGGAGCTGACAACTACGTGTTTGTTAAAGACGGAGACACTGTTGACGTGGATCCTACTGAACAGAATACCTGTGTTGAAGGGCATACCATGCAAGAAATCAAAGTGCGTAGCCTGATAGAATGTATGTCGTCATGTTTATTGGAAGATGGGTGTCTATCCGTCAACTACCTTCGCAAAAACAAACACTGACGTCACAAACTGCAAACTGAATGATATCCTCAGGTCTGACTACCCAGAAGACACGTTTACAATAAACACATGTGATTATTACGAATTTTATTACGAGTCTATACAATCAATGGTCATATTCGATTGGACGTTGATCTTTAAAACACGCATGGGTATAATTTTTATCAAAATTATTTTCCCCCAATTCAATAAACTAACGAGGTTCTAATGGTTCATAGTAAATGAAAACATCCCCCTGGGCCTCTACTCGGGTCCATCAGGAATTCCCATGATTCGCCAGCAAGACAAAACGGTATTGCATGAGTGATCCCCAAGAAGCCAAATAGTAGTTAAGTCATGGAGGTATAAATATATTTTTATACCTTCATGGTTAAGTAAGGTTTTCTGTTTTAATTGTATAGACTGTAGCTGAGCAAAATACAAATGAGCGTTATAAGAATCCGTTATAATAAATTACAACGATCTAGAAATATATATAAAAACACGCATACTGAGGACCTAGACAATTTTACATGGCACAAACAACCATGGTCCAATAGAAAGATTCATCATACCATATTTATAAAACATTTATCACCTCCCAACGACACATGACACATTTGAAACATGTCAAGTTTTATTTTCAACCAGAGTTTTGATACTTTCATCTGGGGTCGCTTGATGCCCGCTCGACAGAGATCTTGAATCTCTCTTTTTGGCAAGCCAGTCTCATTTAAATTTGCTTTCTTTTTATCACTTTTAATATGACAAATAAATGAAATGAAAAGATATGAAAAATTAAATACGGATCCTATAAAGATGCTGTTTTAAAATAGCGTCACCAACAATAATTAGATTTTTTTAAAGTAATATCAAGAAAACTCTGGAACAATTGTTCTTAGAAAATCATTATATTGATCATAGCCGAATAAGTCGATAAGGTCTATATGCCAATATGCAAACAAAATAAGCGAGAAATAGTGTATTGTTCTAACTATACACTTACAGTACATAGGCCTGTACAAATTAAGCAAATTTACATATTAAACATATTTCTAAATTTAATCATAATTAAGTAAAACAGTGTATGGTTTAACAATTTCATGCTCAGTAAATTACTAATTTTTCTGCTTTAAGAAATATTGTATAAAGTGTCTCAATTTGTATAGGCCTATGTATGTATATTAGCAAGCATTATAATGAAAAATGTATAACGTAAAACCACGAATTGAAGCTTCTTTTTTGTGTGCGAAATTTGAATGACTTTCATTTCGTGGCTACGTTTGCAAATTAAAAATGGGGCTTCTTTTCTAAATGAATGCTGTAGATTTTGGGAATTATTAATATAAAACAATAAATAGCGCCACTGTAACATCAATATCTATCATGGAGTGAATTAGCAGGCATTAAAACTACTGTATAAATCAAGTGTGTTTAATTTTTTTCTGTGAAACTTATGTACAGTGTATGTATTGTAGTATCTCAAAAAAAGCCCATGCTTTCTTCAACAGAAGCCTATGGGCTTTCTTTCGAGATCTGATTCTTTTAGAGGCTACTTTTGCGAACAAAAGAAGGAGCTTCAGTTCAGATCAAGTCAAATCAACGTTTACTTTTCCTTTTGAACATCAAACAATGAATAGAAAATTCGCTTCAAGGTTAACAATATTGGGGGAGGGGGGAAACTACAAGAAAAAAAGTGATCAAAGTGATAAGCAAAACATGGGACAATGTAACAAAAGGAAGGAGGATCAAATATATCGAAATTGATTTTCTGATTGATCCTCCATAATCATAATATATAATGAATAATAATCACAATAATAATAATAATAATAATAATAATAATACTAATAAGGCCAATGAAACAAATAATAAAAATAATAATTACAGATAATAAGAGGCATAACAATTTTAACAAAAACAACTCAATAAATAAAAAAAAAACAAACGTAACGATAAAAGAAAAAAATATATATTACTATAATTTTAAAAGGCGGTGTGTAATAATAATTGGTATGTAAATATAATAGAAAAAGTAAAGATGTCTTGTCCTTAATTCGTACCTGTTAGCGCTATCAAGAGGGTCTATTAAAATGGGAGATGTGTATAAGAGACAGTATATATATATATATATATATATATCATATATATAATGAAAAATAATATAAATAAATAATGTAAAAAAATAAAAATAGCTTAGAGTGAGGTGATGGGAGTGAGGAAACCCAAAAGAGAAACTGACGGGGATGAAAAAAAGCCCATTAGTTTTCTATTCGAGGTCTAAGGTAGTAAAAATGCTTCTTTCTTTTCTTTTCTTTTCTTTTCTTTTCTAATTTTTTTTTTGTATATGGATAAATATGAAATAAATGTGTTTGATTGATTTGACAGACCTACCAATTGGTTTCATAGTTTACAGAATGTCATGGTTGTTAGTAATTACCTGTAGTTGTTAGGAATACTGTTGAAAATACCATCGTCTTTATATAGCCAAACACCGATGGTGATATTTATACATGTCAAGGTTATGTTTGACAGTGTGTGCATATGTTGTGTATGTGAACAATGCAGAAACCCCAATATAGAGGCACTTCGGAACTAGTGTCTCCTCAATAGATGTGCCCCACAACATGGTTTAACAACCTTTCTTTAGAAGGAAGACGACAGTAACTCAATTTACTTGACTTTTATATTTCCTTACTATTCGTAAGTGTAACCGATTGTATACGGTAGTACAATTGTTAATACAATTCGGTTTAAATCAATAAATACTGTACATTTGTGTATTTAGGTTGTAAAATGCCAAAATCGATATTTATTTTTATATATGTATATATTGACATGGCGTTATGCTCTCTCATGTTCGTCAATAGAAATTGATTCATCCGTCTCCAAGGTATAATTTTCTAAAGCAAGTATTGAACGGAAGTTTTGTTCATATACTTTGTCTATATGCGCTGTCTAATGAGGTTAATAAAAAAAAATTAATAATAATTATATGTTCCATTTTTTTGTTTAATTGCTGTCACATGTAGTTTTAACTCGCTTAAATCCATATAAGCCAGTTTAACAACCAATAAAGCTATAAAATATATCTTTTTAAAATATATAAGTGAGATTTAAAGTACATAAAATGAATGAAATTGTTATGTTACTCAAAATGTAATGTACCCTGCATTCCATTCAAATGATTTCACAATTTGCAATAAAATGACAATTCGACTACCTTAATTGGCACCTTCAATTTTATTTATGTACAGGTATTTATATATAGGCATATATATATATATATATATATATATATATATATATTATATATATATAATATATATATATATATATATTCACTACATTAGCATCGTAGACATACCCCTGATTAAAAAATCATATTAGGACCATGATCGAAACAAAAAGTGTCCCCGTTCCCTTAGGGGTTTTTATACAATACATAGGTAAATATACGAAAATCGATCAGCTGACAGCCACTTCTATGGTTATTATTAACGCATGTCTTGATGTCTTTACTTTGCCATGGTCTACGTGATGATCAATTTATATTGATTCATATAGTATTGATTCGCAAGATGAACACCGACAAATTATAAGTATGTCTTGTCCTTAATTCGTACCTGTTAGCGCTATCAAGAGGGTCTATTAAAATGGGTTGCACCATAAGTTTTCATATTATGTGCCTAATAGCAATAGTGTCACGTGATGTTACTAGTTTAAGCACGGGTAAGTTTGTTTATTACTTTCATCAATAGGTAATTCTTATGATTTTTATATCTCTTTGGGTCTATGCATTATCTTTTTCACACAATATATGGTAAGATGCCGATTTTAACGCAATACATCCAAGAATATGCAGTAATGGGTGTGAATTCACTAATATTCTGTAAAAAATATGTAGCATTGGATATGAATAGTACATAACGTACTTTCTCAATTTCACTTTACTTTTATTTTCCGTCAACCTACTACAGTAGACTACTCTTTGGGACACCCCTATTCAGTGGACACCCCTATTCAGTGGACACCCCTATTCAGTGGACACCCCTATTCAGTGGACACCCCTATTAAGGGGGGAGGGGCACTTTTTCCGTGAAACGAGGGGCGATATATCTTTTAACACTACGAAAAACCTTAAAGGTACGGGGACAATTTTTGGGTGTGCCAAATGGTCAAGTAACCCTCATTTTTGGGACACTTCATTTTTCCTATTGTACCACAACAAATACAACAGTCTCAAAATAAAAAAAATTAACTCACCTTTATATTTTGACACATTTTACTTATTCATAAACTTTTATCATGATAATAATAATAATAATAATAATAATAATAATAATAATAATAATAATAATAATAATAATAATAATAATAATAATAATAATAACAATAATAATAACAATTTATGTTGCTTTAAAGTTATTGAAGGCATACTACTTTACTTTCCTTCTCTGTCCCGGAGGTTCTCTGAACAACTTGAAACAGAAATAAATAGAAATAAAAATTGAATTTTGAAATTTTAGCAATAAACCAGAATATTCTCCCCGAATCCTTAGATTGAATATCAGTAAGGCCTACTGCAAGTGTTACTTTGATAAACCAATCTTGTAAATTTTGACTCTTAACCGTGGGCATTTCTTTTTCTTCCCTTTTTCGTGTACTTTCACGGATTCTAATTCATACCACAATATTTAAAAAAAAATATTATGGTCATTAACACTGCATCATGAAACAATATTGAGAACATATAAAATTATTGTTCTTTGAATCACATACTGCTACTTTTATATTATAAATGAATTGTATTTGTATTGCAAATTATTGCTAATTCTTCTGTAATTAATTTGTTAATAAATATAAAATTATTAAGAATGTACGGTATGTCATCGTTATACGGAAACATGCCAAAAACCCCTATTAAGTGGACAATTTTACGTTTTTGGTTAGTGTCCCCTGTCAGGGGACACACCTATAAAGGGGAAATTTGTTTTGGTTCCGAAGGTATTCCCTTAATCGGGGTTCTACTGTAATATATTTGTATGTTTCTAATCTTATGTGTATTTTGTGCATTATTATGAATTTTAGATTTCGTAAACGCACCGTGATAACAACACGTATCATGTGCCTCTGTTTTATAATGAGGTATATCGTATAAATATTATATTGTATATTTGCCTTAAAATTTCTTCTGAATTTGGAATAATGAAGAAAATAACACGAATCACACGAATTTGTCAGGTTATGTCACAGTGTGGCCTGAGTTTGTGCTACATAATAAGACCCAGTTTATAGAGCATCAATTTCACCTGTAAACCCTGGTTTCCATAGAAATCGCTACAGACTATCGCAGCGCAACTCCTTTGGCAACTCTGATTGGTCAGAGAGCTTTCCCGATTGCGCCGGGGATATATGGCAAGCCGTTTTATCATATACCTCTGAATTCAATTGCAATTAACACTAATTCAGAAATATATGATGAAACGGCTTGCCATAGGCACAGCTACGTAGTGCTGCAAGGATTGCATTGAAAAGCTGTAGCGACTGTGTAGCGATTCTAGGAAACCAAACAGTGTCGAGCGACTCGTTGTTTGGATGATACTAAAAAAATAAATACTGTACAATGCCAATATATTGCTAAAATGTAAATGTATTTTGGTTGATTCGTAAAATAAATACAGCGACTGTTACTAAAAAAAATGAGAGGCCTTTTTGTTGAATCGTAATAAAATAAAACTATATATTCAATCCTCTACTACTATAAATGTTGGATATTTTTTAAAGTTGATCCGTAGAGGTATTAGGCAACTTTACCCATGAAGTATAATTATGAATATTTTTTATACGATCTCGTGCTCACAAATCGTTTCACTCGTATTCATTAATACCCTAATATTTGCATTTTGTATTATTGTGTTCATTATTATAGAAACAAACTGTGATCTCAGCACAGCTATTTGCACAACGCCATCTTGTGAGTATTAATAAGCAATTAACGTAGAAAAATAACACTTAAAGTGGGTACCTGGTACTGTAGGATTTAATACCAAGCGCAGATTCTAACTGCTTATAAAGATGTGTATAAGAGACAGCAATACATCCAAGAATATGCAGTAATGGGTGTGAATTCACTAATATTCTGTAAAAAATATGTAGCATTGGATATGAATAGTACATAACGTACTTTCTCAATTTCACTTTACTTTTATTTTCCGTCAACCTAATACAGTAGACTACTCTTTGGGACACCCCTATTCAGTGGACACCCTTATTCAGTGGACACCCCTATTAAGGGGGGCACTTTTTCCGTGAAACGAGGGGCGATATATCTTTTAACACCACGAAAAAACTTAAAGGTACGGGGACAATTTTTGGGTGTGCCAAATGGTCAAGTAACCCTCATTTTTGGGACACT